AAAATGAAGGCTCCAGGGAACTAAGAACACTAAATGCCAGTTTTGAACCACTGTGCAGCAGGGGGTTTATTGTTCTCTTTCAATGGAACTTTAAACTCAGCGTGCAACACGATCCTGATCCTTACTTCTGAAAAATGAAGAGCCGATTTAAAGGACAGTTAAAGAAATAAAGGACAAAAGGCGTCCTTTATTTTGAAAAAAAATTTCAAAGAACAGGGGGTTAAAATAAAGGACTGTCCTTTAAAATAAAGGACGGATGGTCACCTTAGTCATACCGTATGCCAACCAAATCACAATTATGGACGGATTTAAATGAAATATCTCATAAGTTGAATTTTTGACAATTTTTTCCGGGTAAAGCCCAAAACTGATGTAACTCTGACTAAAATATTTGGTTTAAAAAGCATAAATTTCAAGGGAATTTTTTCTGTGTATTATTCATTTTATACAAAATTTTGAAACGAAGCCTTGATAAGGTATATATTGCCTTTCCAACAACACCAATTACGTCTATATTTGGGACACCAAAATTTTTGATCTTTGCCCGCTCGCACAGCACTGTGAGACGGCCAGATTTTCTACGGTCAACACTGCCACCAGCCTCCAGTTGAAGTCATGCACCTAAACATTTGCATGTACTAATACTAGTAAGCTTGTGAATTCGGAGTTATCTTGTTTTTGTCTACCTCTAAATTCCCTTTCTTCTACTTTTTTTTTATGACTTACTCATGTTCAGCTTCTAAGTGCGTTTGCGTCTTAACCGTCTCATATTTGCGATCATCTTCGGCAAAGTTGAAAACTTCACTTAGCTCGTACTCCTTCAACTGCAAAAATAAATAAAGAAAAATTTGATAAAAGAAACGGGCGAAAAGTAGAGCAGAATCAGACACACACGCTTACATATATGTACATACATACTTAGTAAAACAAAGTTAAAAAAGTTTAAGGCAGTGAGCAAAATAAAGAATTTGGCACAAATTTAATCACTAAATCTCCAACTAAATTAAACATTATCTCTATATAGGCATGTGCATATGTACATATTTATTTTGTGTATGTATGTTTATGTGCTCACTGACAAAAGACGCGACTAAAATGGCCAATTAGCGCGGCAATCAGCTTAAACGGAAAATGCTTAAAACAGCTCAGCTCAGCTCAGACGAGAAGTAGCAACCAGGTGTAGGCGTTAACTAAACAAAAGTGAAGAGTATCTACTTATTGCAAATGAGTGTGTGTAGGTGTGCGAGTTTGCACGAATGTGTGCGCTTTTTTGTTTCCCTGGCCTTAACAATTAATTTTATTTTGACAGACACTCATTGTTAACTTTTTTGCTCCGCTTTTGCTTTTGTTTTCTTTAATGTTTTCGAGTAGTGTTAGCTTTGAAAGATGGAGAACACAGATACATACTTAGTAGAATAGCTACTTTTTAGTCATTTTTATAATATGACTCAATATGTGACTGACATGTAAAAGTTCTTCAAAAATACATACCACATTCTTAGCTTTTATTATCCTACTGAGGGTTCACAATTTTAATTAACTTTAAAGAAGAGGGAGTTTACAGTTCGGCGAACAATTTTTTTTTTGTATGCTCACCGTTAACTTCTGACAATGGGAACGAATTTCAATGTTTCTCTATTTATAGGAAAGGTGCAAGCTTAAAGCTGGAGCAGTTCTGATGATCGCTTATTGACAAAATAACGGTAGCATTTTTTAATTGTTTGGTGAATATTAGTTACCTTACATAATGATCTCACCGGAAATCACTGTCCAAACTCCTTTTATTTCCATTTTGAGGACCGGATCAACGTAACCTACAAAGCGTAGCGAGAGCTTTCCCTCAGCTTTACTCTAGTTACAGTGGATCTCTACCCCAACAGAAGATCCTCTTTCTCCGTTACTCGTAAGACTTATTGTGGATACAAAACGATTAGTGCTTCTAATAAAAAGTCGACAGTTTTAAGAACCTCCACCTCAACTAGAGCTACAGTAACACCAAGCTCTTCTATGGCACAAAGAGACCACAATGAAAGTACACAGCGGGTGTAATTTCTTATATCATGCTAACCCCTGATACGAGAAGTCCAAAAGCGTATTTCCGTAAAATAAAGTAAAAAAAGTGTACTATTTAACGTTATGCGCTTTCCAGTAATTAGCTCAGCAACCACTGCTGCAAATGCACACACAGGGTGAACTAGATTCCGTGGGCTACAATCAAAATACCTCAGTGGCGGCTGCGAAAATGGCAAAATGCTGGGTATATTGCAAAATTTTCGAAGATTATAGGCATCATAAGCAAACAATTGAACCATTGATTCAACCCGCGTTAGCAGAAGTGGTGCTACTGCAACGCCCTTGTAGTCTACATATACATATTTATAGTAAAGCTGTAAAAGGCTGCGATGTATAAAATAACCTATGTAGGTGTAATCCGGGGATCTTCTGAAAATTGTTTAGTCCCGAAATATCTCATAACGACCTAAAATGAGAAACTAGGTACCAACGCACATCTTGGATACGCTCAAAGCTTTTAATCCAGGCATTAATAATAATAATAGATTGGAACTTACACATATATTAGTTTTTGGCCGAACTTCCCCTCCGATTTGTGGGGTGAGACTTGATATTGTCCCTCACAGGGGAGGGACCTAAAGTTTTACCCCGACTCATGGCAGAAATACACTCAGAGGTTTGCCATTGCCTGCCGATGGGTGACCGCTGTTAAGAAAACAACTTTTTTTCTAGAGTCTTTTTTGCGATGTTGCTTTGACTCAGGCCTTGCGCGCACTGTTGACCACTAAACACACAGCGGCCGTCGAGGCATTATTAACCAACAAAAGAAAGCGAGTAATACGAATATCCGGTTCGAGCAACAATGCAGGTACTCTCGCTTCTCACTCTAATCCTCTAGTTACACTGTAGGGAAAGTCTCAAGTTTTTAAATGACACAAAAAAAGACGAAACGTAGATTACGAATATGTATTCTGTTGTTTCTAGATCAGGCCATTTTCTGAAGTTATTTTCAATTTTTATGGAAAAAATATCAAATTTTTCGAAATAAGTCAAGCTACTAACTAAGAAAATCTATGAATAATAAAAACCTTGTGAATGGTCAAATGAAAATCTGTAATAATTTTTTTGGACGAAATGCGAAATGTATGTAAGCAGGATAGAATGTTACTCATACGCCATGTATGTATCTTATCTATGCAGAGTAGGGCAAAATTTATTCGAATGACGATTAACAAATATATAAATTCTTGTTTTCGTTATTCGTAAATAATAAATAATTAATTTTATTGAAAAAAAATGATTCGAGTGATGGATAAATCATTTTATTCGTTATTGGAACTTCAATGCTCATATAAATCTTTAATACAAAATTTAGATGTTTTTAATATCGATTGTTTTCATCCAGTATTTCATCAACCCGACAAAGTGTATCTTCCAACTGTAGCAGCAGAATATTTATTCACCGTTAAGTTTCATAGGAGGCAAAGGGTACTGCCATGAGAAGTGCCCCTTTTTGCATATCCAGTTAGACCTCTGCATGACCCAAAAATCCAATTCTAGCCAGCAATGATTATCGTCAACCAAAAGCACTAAAGCTTTGTACCCATTTACTCGGATATACTATATTCATTCATTAAATTTGTCTTACCTGCATTTTTATGCTTCCTTTCTATTTCTAGTTCTCCTACTCGTGCTCTTGATTTTCACCTTTTCTTCTATTACAGAAACGCCCAATATCGTCGTTCGGCCTTCTACTTAATATTAGTTGAAATTTCTTCTTTTTGTTCCAAAGAAATCTTTCTACCAAACAAAAAATTTTCTCTTCCAAAAACTATTCAATAAATTCCTTTCTCAATAAACTTCTTGTTTGTTTTCGGGATTGAAATTCTTCTAACAACAGACTTTCAGGCTCACCTACAACTTTCTGGTATAAGTGCTACCAATAAATTCCTGTGCTATTTGCTCGCTCTCTCACCCACACATGAGTTTACTCACACTATCGCATTGCGCTTCAAATAATTTTCTCGCAAAGTGGCTCCAACTTTGAGCGACTGGCGGTAGCCGCAACATCTCCAATGTGTGGTGTCGCGCATTTTAATTTGTTTTTAGCTTTGTAATAGCACTTCTATGCAATTATGTACTGTAATTTTGTTGTCGTTGTTTTTGTTTTTTGTTTTGCTTGTTACTGCCTGTTGACTTAAGCACAACGAGCGTAGTTTGTTAAGTATTTGTTTGTGGTTACCATCACACTTTTGCGCTTATCGTTTCTGCTATTTGCTTGTCGTCGTGGTTTGGCGTTACTTCGTCGTTGAGTTTTCTTCCATGTTTACAAGCAAACAATCGATTTACTTTCTTGGAAGTATATATATGTTTGTATGTTTGTATGTGGACTTTTCTTTCTATTTTGATCAAGCTTCATTGCCTTAGCTTTTCTTTTTGCTTTACTTACATACTTACATTTAAGCAAATTTTAACTGCTACATACATGTATGTAAAAGCAGACCTCAACACTTTCTACTTGGGCTGACTTGCTGAGAGAAAAAACCAAAGCAAAAAGGCAAATAAAAAACATCGCTCGCAGCCAATAACCATTCCGCCCAGCAGGCAACCAGCCGACTCATAATCCCTACGAAAGCTGTGAAATTTTCTACGCTGGATTATCGTAACGCTGAAAATTCCTTACCGCAGAGATTAAGTGCGATTGGAATTTGTAAATGAGCTAAGCGCCAGGCGGTGCGGCAGCAACTGTGAGCAACATAACTGAGCAAGGAATCGAATGCAATGTTTGCCATGGTTGTAGGAGTAATTACTAGTGGCGTAAGGTCGTGCAAATATTCAGATTCTTTGCAGAAATCTGTGTTACTTTGCTAGCACGTACGATTATTTGTTTGTTCAATGTTTTGCTGCTCAGAAATGCTTTGCTGCTCGTTTGTTGGTTATTTTGGTTGCCGCTTTTAGCTAGTTTTTTTTTGGGTGGTTGTTGAATTTTTAAGTGAGGTTAAAGTGGCTCTTTTTTTTACTTATGAAGCAGTTTTTGGTTGATTAAAATTAAAAACAAAAGCAAAATTAGTTTTCATTTTATTTTATTTATATTAAAAATATGGAAGTTTGTGTGTGAGTTTGTTGCTCCTCAGCTCAAAAACTTATTACATGTACTTTAATGAAATTTTACACATGCCACCGTTTCGAAAAGCTAACATTAATTAATAATAGGTTAAATAGAATTTTAAAACAATGTGGGTGTCAAACGAAAATGGTTGAAACACGATTTATTTTCAAAATATTTTTGAAGAGAGTTACCACCGATTTGCAAAGTTAAAACCAAGTTAACAAGTTTATTCGAATATTTAAATATGAATAACAAGCGAGCGAAGCTTAACAGCCCATTTCACGATAGCAATTTTATTGAAAAATGATTTTAATTTTTTGAATTTTATATGGAATTCGACAGAAAATAAAAAATAATTTTCTATTTAAATTGCTGGTGAAATCGGCTGTAAGAAAGCTTTATTTCGAAAAAAATTTTACCTGTTTGGAAATTCAAATTTCAAAATTCAAAATCAATTTAATAACAAATTAAATAAATAAATATGAAAATCGAGCCCTAACTGTCAAAAAAATGTAACAACATTTTTTCCAAATTTTATTTTTGATCCGGAGATGCATCTAGATGCTCTAGGAACATTTATGCATCAAAAATTAAATTTTGAAAAAGTACCGCTTACGTCTTTTTGGCGGTTAGGGCTCGAAATAATATTGAAGAAGGTTACCACCTGTTTAGAAATGCAAATAAATTTAATTGACAAGATAA